TAGAATATAATACATTTTGATTGTAATGGAGGCCTGTCACCCAGAAAGCATTCTAAATCTCACATCTACACAAAGCTTTTCTAGACTGCCGTCATGCAGAAAAAATTCGGCTATTTGGGGTCTTAGACCTGCCATATGTGATTCTTCTCTCTCTCCCTCTGAAATTACAACAGGAAATGGCTTGAAAAGTTCAAAAACTCAAATAATATTTAAGCACTATTACTATAGAACATGTGAAGGACATTGGGCTACTGACTTGAGACAAGTAGATATCTAAGGGCCAAGACTGTAATAAAGTTCATTCAGGATTTAACCCCAGGGTCAGTCTACTTGGGCACCTCCATCTGCTTCTTCAGTAGGAGAAAAGAACCAAGAAAAATGTTCATACTTAGTTGTGAAATGGTGGGGATCACGGACCTACCCAGAGGCTAAAAAAAAATTCAAGGACAGCTCAAGGTTTATTCCCCATTTTGGGGTCTCTTAGTATGTAATAAGATGTTAGCTTTTGAGACTGGATTTGAATTATTCTCAACTTTGGAGAGATGTGCCTGTCACTTAGGCCTGATATCATCGTAGACTTCTCAATATGATGAAGGAATTATATTTTTTCAGAGTAGATATTCACATTATTTGATATGGCTACTAAGTCAGCTAGGAGTTGTTCAAAATAAGTCTTTATCTTTCAGCAAATGGGAACAAGAGACCTTCGAGAGTCAAGCTGTAGTTTATTATGATGTGGCATATTGATCACACGGTACTAATGAGGCACAGGGCATCTCTAGCTTCAACTGTATTGCTTCCTACTCACTTCCTTGGATCAAAGTTCATTCATTTAATACATAATTATTGAGTGCCCATTGTGTACTGGAATCACGTAAGCTGGAGGTATTAAAGTAATTGAAGGCAATGTGCTATAACAGAATGAGCATTACATGGTTAGAAAACTGTTTTGGTTTAAGACTCTTAGCAATAAAGTTAAGTTTTCCCTCGGTAATTGTCTCCTACCTCAGTGGATTTGGGAAATGATCAAGTGACAACCACGTGAAAGAGGTAGTAATATTATTAGATGAATTTGATATAACCAACTTTTATGGTTTGAATGTGTCACTTCAAAACTTCATGTGTTGGAAACTTAATCCCCAGTGCAACAATGCTGGGAAGTGGGGCCTAAGAAGAAGTGATTAGTTCATGAGGGCAGAATGGATTAATGTCATTATTGCAGCAGTAGTTTTGTTATTGTGAGATTTGTTATGAAAGAGTTTAGCCCCCTCTTGCTCTCTTGTGCATGCTGTCTTGCATATCTTAGGATGATGCAGCAAGAAAGACCTTGCCACCTGCAGGCCTCTTGACCTTGCAGTTCCCAGACTCCAGAACTGTAAGAAGTATATCTCTGTTCATTATAAATTACTCAGTCTGTGGTATTTTGTTATAGCACTGTGAAATGGACTAGGATACCAACCATGGGTATGTTGGTTATATTCCAAACTCTAGCAACTGGATTAGTTATTCTCTGAGGTGTAACCCGTAACTTAAATTTGCAAGGTGCTTTAAAGGTGTCTGTATTTGACGTCTGTTCTTTTGCTTTTTAAGTATCTCTTACACCACTATGAGTGATATAACAGCATATTTAAATACTTCCAAAAACCGTATTCCATCCAGTCTCCCAGTTTTCTTTTTGCTTTCAATATGTAAATAACATACCATACTGATCTACTCCATCAAATTTGTCTTTTTATACTTTATTAGAATTCACTATTTTTATTCTTTCTTTTCCTACAGAGGCTTTTAATTAGCATAGTTCTTCATATTTGTAAAGTTACTACCATATACTTTTTGAGATTAATAATAGTTTTGAGTTATACTTTTTACTAGTTGCTTAACCTAATGTAAGAGAATGGTAACTCAAGTGGATAGTAAAAATATGAATTTTCCTTCTGAATTAGGTTACACCAGATTTCTGGAACTATTACTAATGCTTTCCTTTTACTTCCTTTCATTAACCTTTGCAAGAAATTACTAAACTAGGCTGTGAATTAAATAGCACTATAAGGGGTAAACTGAGTAAAAGGAGGAGAAGTAATAATATAAAAATTTTAATTATATATTAACTTTTTTGATAAATTTTTTTCCTGTTACCTAGAACTAATGGGCAGTGTGCCTGCAATACTTATTAATAGAGCTTGTATAAAAACTTGCCTGAAGGCATTTTAAAAGCAGACTGATATTTATAATCAGAGCATATATCTTGTAAGCCTCTCTGAAAGTATATATTGTAAGCTCGTCTAATAATCTCAAAATCAGCATGTAATTCCATAAGAAAGTTATTTTTACTGTTTTTTTTTCTGTTATTGAAATAGGTTAATCACATTAGAAAAATTATCTAGAAAGATGAGAAAAACAATCAATCATAGTTCCCTAATATAATTACTACTAGCATTTTGCTATATTTCTTTTTAGTCTGTTTTTATATGTGTACTGACAGTTTTTTGAAATTGTTGTAATTGGTATGTTGATACCCTTTAGTAGCTTGACATTTACCCTTCTAGCATAACAATTTCTCCATTTTGGTCTGAGTGTGGTGGCTCACGCCTGTAATCCCAGCACTTTGGGAGACCCAGGCAGGTGGATCAACTTAGGTCAGGAGTTCGAGACCAGCCTGGCCAACATGGTGAAACCCCATCTCTGCTGAAAATACAAAAGTTAGCTGGTATGGTGGCAGGCACCTATAATCCTGGCTACTTGGGAGGCTGGGGGAGGAGAATCACTTGAACTCGGGAAGTGGAGGTTGCAGTGAGTGGAGATCATGCAACTGCACTCCAGCCTGGACAATAGAATGAGACTCATCTCAAAAAAAAAAAAAATTGTTCATCTTTATATTAAGGAAGGGCATTTTGAGTAACATGCTAAATATTATACACCATCTGCTTTATTTCAGTAACTCAGTACAATATGTATTAAATTCAGTATGTCAAACATTAATTGAATGACTTTATTGTTTAATAAGGGCATTAGCTTTGTTTTTCTAAAAGTTATGCTGTCTCTTTTGATTATTTGTATTGCTTTCATTTCTACTGATGAACACTGACTTTATCAAAGACTTTTTCCTGGAATTGATGAGGGCAAATAGTGCTGCTCACCCAGAATATAGGGTTAAGCATTATGGTACTGAGGATGCTTTCCAGAAAAAGATATATTGATATTTAATTTTAACTTTTTGCCTATATCTATGTAAAGACATAATGTATTAGGATGAAGTAGATATTTCCCCAGCACATTATTCCAAGCCACTGATGGTAAATCAAACACAAGTCCATAACTGTTTCATGTTTCTTGAAAATCAGTGAGTTTCTAAGATGTTTATTTTGCTTGCTTTCACCTGAGTTCAACACAAAACACTTCTCTTTGAGAATCCTGTTGATCTGTTAGCCTTCATCTGTCCTGTTCTAAAGTGGAGGTTGTCAACTGCTAATTAAACATGAGATTGCAGATTTCATTCCTGGTTGTTTGACCTGCCATTTAAAGTTCCTTAATCCAACTCTGACATCTGTGACATTTTCAAGTGTCAATTTAGGCAATACAATATGAGGCTTTTGAATTTTAGTTTGCTAACTTGCCCTTAGACTGGCAACAGATTCCATCTGTCCTTGATCATATTCTTACCTATTTTGTTACATGAGAGGAATTGGATCTTCTTTTGCCTCTGTAGCAGACTTGGTCTTTGCTTTTGAGTGTACGGTTTCTTTAGTAGGCTTTGGCTCTAATTTTTTATTAACTTAGTATAACCTAATCATAATTTTTCACAAGTATGTGTTCTAGGACATCAGGTTTTCTTTGAATTTCCATCTTGCTTAGCTTTTTCAGGTGAAGGTCTTCATGCCCCAAGTGGACAAACTCAGTACCTCTTGAGTTTCTGAGTCAGTCCTAAATAAAGCCACAAGTAAATCACAGCAATAGTTTTTGTTCTACCAACTCATTAGTGTGAAATTTTTTGGCTGCTCCTGACTTACTTTTAATTATTCCTGTTCTTTTAGGATCATAGCTTTCCCTTTAACCTCCTATTTTACTTGTCCAGACTTGGCTTCTGTCTTGGTTTCCTGATTTAGATCTCTTTCCTGGTATCTTGAATCCAAACCCACTTGATTAAGTGAAATTATTGAAAGCCCCATCTCTGTGGAAAGGGAAACTTGTCCCTTTTTGTCCCAACTGGGGTCTCCTTCAACTCATGTGGGCTGTGCAGAACTAGGAGCTGCCACCAGAGTTATTCCACTTGTCTACATGGGCTGGCACTGATCTGTTCTGTATCATCTCTGGACCTTACTTCACTTCCATGCCATCCAATCTAGTTGTCCAGCTTTCTACTTTACCCCGTTCAACCTGGAGGCCCTAGAATGTTTTGAGACTAAAATCACATGGGCTCTAGAAGCTGTGATTCCAGTGTGTGTCTTAGTCCATTTTCTGTTGCTATAACGGAAAACCAACAGGGATGACTTACACAGAAAACAAATTTATTTAGCTCCTTGTTCTGACATCTGATGCATCTGATGAGGTCTTTCTTGCAGCATATTACTGTGGTGAAGGACACCATATGGTGAGAGGGAGGATGTGTGTCTGCTCAAGTCTTCTTATGAAGCCACAAGTTTCATATGGAGGCCCTCCTCTGTGACCTTATCTAATCCTAATTACCTCCCAAAGGCCCTAAACCCAATCGACATATGAATTTGGGGATTGTTTCTAACACATGAAATTTGGGAACACATTAAAATTGTAATATGGGATTGACACACACCCACCGAAACATAAAATCTACTAAGGCGTTGAATGAATCTTCTCAATATGGTATAAAATATATTAATGTTCAAAATAAAAAAATAAATTGATCTGTTTCTTAATATTGGTCGTTGACAACGATTTTCCTTTTTCTAATTTTTAATTTTTATGGGTACATAGTAGGTGTATATTTATGGGGTACAAGAAATGTTTTGATACAGGCATGCATTGCATAGAAATATGAACACTTTATGAATTTGCATGTCATCATTGGACAGTGGCCATGTTACTCTTTTCTGTATTGTTCCAATTTTAGTAAATGTGCTGCCAAAGCGAGCACAATGACAAAGATTTTTAAGCTGCTCCTATGACATTTTGGTCAAAAAGAATATATAGGTTTGTGAAGAAATCTTGAAGTTTAAAATCCTCCTCAGTGGTTCTCTTGATTGCCATTTGAAGTGGAAAATGCTGAACTATCCGTACCTTTGCTTTAATATAAAATGATCTCGTTGGCTTCTGCTCTGGCCATACGATATATGCAGTGATAGCCTGACATTTTACTTTAGGTAAAAACAGCCCATGAACTGTGTGCTGGGTAGGCCAGGCCATTGGTGCACACTCTGCAATTGCTCAGTAAAAGACTGGCACATCTAAGTGAGTTGGTCGTTGTATTTCTCACAGCAGCATCACTGACATGGGATGGGAAGCAAAGGAAAAAGAAGAATGTATGAAGGCATTAAGGGGATTGATTCTTGAAATAAAGTTGCCATTGTGGCTGCTTAGTTCAATCATCGTGGCAACCCTGCATTCTAGAGTAAAAGCATCAAGGCTTTGTGGCAACAATGCTGTCTCATCCCAATAGCTATTAAGGAGCTGCTATGAACTGATTGATCTCCACTCTCCTTTTAACTTGACATTCCTATTAATTTTGTTTCTCCCCCTCATCCCACCCTTTCCTTGATTTTATTTTCTTTTGTAGCATGTCTTAGGGAAAAAACCATGGCCTTTTTTTATTGACTTTTTTAGAGTTTTTTTTTTTTTCTTTTTTTCTTTTTTTTTTTGACAGGGTCTTAAGTGTTTTGCTGTGTTGCCCAGGCTGGTCTGAAACTCCTGAGCTCAAGATATCCTCCTGCCTCAGCTTCCCAAAGTGCTGGGATTATAAGCATGAGCCACCTTGCCTAGCCAACCATGGATGTTATAGAGTCCCAAATATTAGAGTTCAGAATTTTGGACAGCCACTTAACTCATAAAAGAGCCTTAGTTTTCTCATGTATAAAATAGGATTAATCCTGATCTCATAGGCTGTTAAGATTGCTAGACTGTTCTTTAGAAATGTTTCTAAGACCTTGGATTCCTTTTTCTCTTTTAGTTTGATCTCTCCTCTTCTTTTTTCTCCTCCTTCTATCTCCTGTTTTCCTCTTTCTCTCTCCATCTACCTGAAACTCTTATTTTTTCTCTTCTAGGTAATATCTAATAACTAACCATAATTTCTTTTAAAATCACTTTAAGATAGGGTTTTCTTTGGTGAGCTCCTGTTTATAAAACCCTACCTTCATCTTGGTTGGTTTCTTTATCTGTGAAGTGGAGATAATAGTACTAATATCATAGGATCATTATGAGAATTAATTGGCATAAAGCACTCAGAATAATGCCTGGCACATAGTAATCCTGAAATGTTAGTTGGGATTAACTTGCAAAAATCTATTTATTTAACAGATTCTTTCTAGTCTTCACTTGGGACCCCTTTTTATAATTTATTATGTCTGTCTTTAATTATGAAGAAAAGGGATGATAATAGTACATTTATATTTGATAATATGTGACCTTGATATTACCAGTCAAAGCTATCAGCATTGTATTTATATGATAGAATAAAAATCTTGATTTATCTTTAATGACTATGTTGAGTTGTGAAGTCAAGACTGACACGATCATACTTTCTAGAGCAGTTTGAATAAAATATTTTCTAAATCTTTGTTCTCTGTTGGTATGTATACTAATGGAAATTCACTCCTTTTCTGCTTATATTTGACATAGGGGATACTTATTTATTTCCAGTGGGTTAGCGGACAAGGTGAGTCACTGGTATGTTAATCCTTAAACTTCTTAAATATTTTGCTTAGTATATCATTAACCTGAGCACACCCCTACTTTTACCAACAAAATTTTTATTAAGACCCCATAAGTGATCTCACACACACACACACACACACACACACACACACACACACTTTATATATAAAGTGTAAGTGAACATCTCATTATTTCCATGTGGCATGTCTAATTTGAAGTCATTTTTAAAGATTGACTGAAGTGACAGTTCCTTTGCTAATTTAGCAGAAGTTACTAATTTGATTCATTTTACTTTTCCTCTTTGTAGTTACAAGTCATATTGTATATTATAAAAATTTTAATTACCAGGGGTAAATATGAAAAAAAATTAACAATTATTTGTGACTTTTTTTTAAGGACCTTACTCAATAATTGGGTCTTGATTGTTGACACAGTAATAGCTGCTGAAATCTTTGACTAGATGACTAGTTTTGTTTGTGTTAAAAAACAAGTTCTGAGAGATAAGGTATCAACAAATGATGTCCGAAACATAAATGATCCTGAAAACAAACTTCACTTTTTAAGATAAACCTGTTTAGAAAACAAACTTGATTGAATTGTTAAAACAAATATATTTTGAGTCCTTCACAAAAGTTGATGTACTGTGCAGTGAAATACTGTGATGACAGATGGACCTAGAATATTTGTGGTAGACAGTTAAGTGGACTATTGAGGATGACTAAGAAAGCCCTGTTTGCTGTCTTTGACAAGGAAGAATCATCCACATATAAGCTATTAAGATAATGAAAACAATAGTAGAAATAGACTAAGAATGAATATTCTTCAAAATCATCCCTACCAATACTGCACAACAGATGCTTATATATTTGAATTGTTTTCTGTACCTTGTGAAAAGAACCATGTTCTGTGTTTGCCTTTAAAAAGAAAAAGATGTGAGGCCGAGGGCGGTGGCTCAAGCCTGTAATCCCAGCACTTTGGGAGGACGAGGAGGGTGGATCACGAGGTCGAGAGATCGAGACCATCCTGGTCAACATGGTGAAACCCCGTCTCTACTAAAAGTACAAAAAATTAGCTGGGCATGGTGGCGCGTGCCTGTAATCCCAGCTACTCAGGAGGCTGAGGCAGGAGAATTGCCTGAGCCCAGGAGGCGGAGGTTGCGATGAGCCGAGATTGCACCATTGCACTCCAGCCTGGGTAACAAGAGCGAAACTCCGTCTCAAAAAAAAAAAAAAAAAAAAAAAAAGAAAAAGAAAAAGATGTGGCTGCAATCCTAACACTTTGGGGTGGATTATCTGAGATCAGGAGCTTGAGACCAGCCTGGCCAACATAGTGAAACCCCATCTCTATTAACAATACAAAACTTAGCTGGATATGTTGGGGAGTGCCTGTAATCTCAGCTACTTGGGAGACTGAGACAGGAGAATTGCTTGAACCCAGAAAGTGGAGGTTGTAGTGAGCCCAGATGATTGTACCACTGCACTCCAGCCTGGGCGACAGAGACTCTGTCTCAAACAAACAAGCAGAAAAGATGCAATAGCAGTCCTCTTTGTGGTTTTCTTTTCTTTCGGACTATCAAATATGTTTGTTTGCACATTACATAATTTTCTTTTTACTGTTGAATATTTTAAAATGAACTTTGGTGATGAAAGTAATGCTGTTGGACGTTGAATTCAAATCCCTTCTGTTTCACTGACTCCCTTTGAGGTGGTAGACGTATAAAAGTAACCCTGTGAAAAATAATGTCACACCTCTTTATGACTCAGATCCTTTTGTGTGGAAAGTGGATAATACTTCTGCTGAGTATCTTACAGGCTTTTTGGAAAGTGTAGTTAGTAAAAATGTAAAAAGAAAGCTATTGCTCCAATTTCATTGCAGGCACAGCAGAAGTTGCTAAAGTATTCTGATCTCTAAAGAAACAAAATTTTAAGGATAAGTAACCTCCATCTCTGACCGTTCTAATTCATTTTAGCTTGGATCCACTCACTGTGTTTTAATTTGGTTCACTTCAATTTGCTAGTCACTGAGCCCCACTAGACCAAGTGCACTCAACATGGTTTGTTGGGGAAATGCAAGATGATTCAGATTTGGGTTTTGCCCTTGAAGAACTCAGTCTATTTGGGAGAGCCTTGCATGTCTACACAAGACCTGATGGCTCTCCCATTAAACATGCCAAAAATGAGGTATGAACACATTATATGCAAGCTACTAGTTTGCCCCTCCAGCCACTGTAATCACATTAGCTACTTTCTCAGATAGTAAAATTATGTCTTAATTTCCTTTTTTTTTTTTTTTTTTTAAACAGTCTCACTCTGTCACCCAGGTTGGAGTGCAGTGGTGCAATCTTGGTTCACTCCTCTGCCTCCTGGGTTCAGGCAAGGGAGTCTCCTGCCTCAGCCTCCCAAGTAGCTGGGATTAGCAGCATGCACCACCACACCCAGCTAATTATTTTTATTTTTATTTTTATTTTTTTTTAGTAGAATAGGGTTTCACCATGTTGGCCAGGCTGGTCTCAAACTCCTGGCTTCAAGTAATCTGCCCACCTCAGCCTCCCAAAGTGCTGGGATTATAGATGTGAGGCCTTAATTTCAGATGCCTTAATTACAGACGCCATGCCTGGCCTTTAATTTCCAAAATAGTAATGTAAATGCTTCTTAATAATATAAGTCCCAAGACATCTAATCTTTGCGATCTCCTAATTTTTGACATAGCCCCGTTGGTTTATTTATTTACTTTCTCTTCTCTAATGCTTTTCTAATTTCCATGCTCATTCTATTTTTAAAAATCCCTCTCCATTAATTTATTCCTATTTTCATCACGTATATTAAATGCAGAGATTTATTAACAACTGTTCATCCACACAATCAAGGACATGAGTACACATATACAAGTGTGTACATGTGTGTATACTCACACATATCTGCAACATCCTTTTCTCACACATTTAGTTAATAACATCCATTTAGAGTGGACATCTTGGGTTTTAGGGAGGTAGAAAGCTTCTATAGAAGTTTCCTAAGATATTCCAATTCTAAAAATATTTTGATTACAATTTATAAAACTGCCTATTTTTTTTTCATGTGCTTTCATTTCATCAGTCTCAATGTCTTGTGGGTACCAGCCTGTTGTGTCCAGTAGACTGATTATCTGTTTTATCATTCAAAGACCCAAAGACCCAAAGATCCAAGGCATGTTAAACATTTATTATTGGTGGAGTTTTGCTGTTGAATCTTGCATAGACTTCTAGCTGTCCTTGACAGCTCCATTTTT